TGGGGCGCCCGCCAGAGGCCCGCCCGAGCCCCGAAGGGTGGCGGCCGCTTACCGTCCATGGCCCGTCCCGCAGCGGCAGCCCTCCAAGGCGGTGGGACTGTATCTCCTGGGGGCGTCCAGCGGCCGTGTGAACTTCCGGGTTGCTCCCCACTTCCGGCGTCCGCCCCTCTCGCGAGAGGACGGCGGCCAGTCCCACGACGGAGGCGTTGCCGTGGCGACCGCGCAGCCCCTCGGGGCCGCGGCTTCTGTGAGTCACCGGCTCTGCGCGGCCGAGGTGCCGGTGCCCGGCTGTGCCTGCGGGGCGCGGGCTCACTATGGGGCTTTGCAGAAGCAAACACAAGCCCGGGAAAGGTAAAGGGCCGCCAGCCCGCCGAATCCCTGGAGCAGCCCACACCCGCGGGGCGTGGGTGCTGGGCGCCCGCCCCTCCTACGCCCGAGTCCTCCCTGACGACCATGCCTCGGGAACCTTTTCCGCCGTGGAAATATCCAGTTTAGGGAAATGGAGTGACCCAAGTCTTTCAAGCTACCTATGTCACCCTGAACCAAAGAAGGCAACTGAAGAAGAATGAATCCATTGCCCTAGATGTAGTAAATCATAGGTCTAATTAATTATCCATACATCCCAGGTGAGGAGCAAAAGGGGTGCCCCTGTTCAGGCCCAAAGCCTAAGGAAAGGTCGATGGACAGGCATTCCCAGGACTCTGAAAAGCCTCTAGACACTAAGCCTGCAGAGGGCTTCTCTTGGAAGAAAGGGGCAGCCAAGCAGCAGTGGCGGTCACCTGAATTCGAAGGTAGGGCCCACCCAGAAGGGGACAGCCCAAGGTTGCAGCTTCAAGGAGTTTGGAGGTGGGGTAAACAGGAGCCCAGGTGAGGGATCCTGACAGCAAGGGTGGGAGGGTTTAGGACCTTTATATAGGAGGGAGCAAGGTTGAGGGAAGTTGCCAAGTGATACATGCGTAACAGTCAAGAGGGTTAGTGCACAGACACAGCGCACACCGCTCTTGTCCCAGAGGGTAGACACACTGTCCTTCAACACTCAAGACTGGAACAAAAGCTTGGGACGCTGCCCCAGGCTGGGGCACAGTCACGTGTGAGAAAGGATGGAGGAAGCAGAACCTCTGTGGGACAAAGGGCTGCAACAGTTTGGCAAATTTATTCATTTCACAGCCCAGTGTGGCCAGACCTTTCCATATGTGTGTGGGGGGCGGGGCGGGATTAGGCCACAGAAGCAGCCAGAAGGTGAAGTCTATCAGTTCTATTGTGTGGGTTGTGTTAATGGAACTGTTCATTAAAACAAGGGATATGTGATGGGTTTGTACCCTGGAAAAATCTGTCTCCAGAATAAAGGCTATTTGGGGCAGTGAGGAGGAGACCTGTTACAGGCCCACTGCTGCTATTAGGTAGGAGCTAATGAAGCAGTGGCAGTGGGAATTACAAAGGATCCAGGAGGTAGAACCAGTGGAACCTGTTGTATGATGAGATGTTGGGAAGATGGGAGCCAGGAGGGTGGGAGGCAGTGACCATGAGATTGAGTAGTTGCTGGGTCAGGAGGAGCTGGGCTCAGGCAAGTTCAAATTGAAGCATCTGTATAGTCAGGAAGGGCAGGAAGCAGTTTGACATGAGGGTGTTGGGCTTGAGAGCACGGCCTGGACTTCAAATACCAATTTAGGAACCCTCATTTGAAGGCGGAAGACCGCAGGAGGGGCCAGAGTCCAAAGGAGGTTTGGAGAATGCTACCAAGCCAGGAGACTTTTGGCTGCAAGTCGCAGAAAACCCAACCAGACGTGGCTTTACTGCCAAGGGGTTTGATGTCTCCCATGTAAACAAAGGGTCACAGGCAGGGCAGTCAGGGTAGTTTGCTCAGCAGCACAGCAGATGAAAACAGCAGGACTGTGTGCCCCTACACTTCACCACCCTTGGGATCTGTGGGCCCCAGATTGCTGGACAGCTCCAGGTATCACACACAAACCGGACGTGTCTAGTCCATGACAGGCATTTCTCTTTGTGTCCTAATAGCAAGGAGAACCTTTCCCCGGTGGGCCTCACCTGCCTGGCACCTCCAGGAGGGGCTCATCTGCCTGCAAGGGAAGATGTCGGCAGGGAACTGCCTGTTGGAAAGGCACCAGCAGTGTCTGTCACACATTGTTTCGGAGTTTCGGAGGAGTGGAGAGAGTGTGGATATAGAGGGGAAAGGTCAGAGAGCAAGAAAGGGGCTGGACACCCTGGTGGTGTGGCTGCAGGCTGGAGCGTCATCCTGTGCACCAGAAGGGTTCGGATTTGATTCTTGGCCGGGGCACACCTAGGTTGTGGGTTTGATCTCCAGTAAGGGAGGCAACTGGTCAATGTTTCTCTCTCACATCGATGTATCTCTCTCTAAAAAATAATCAGCAAACATATCTTTGGGTGAGGATTAATTTTTTTTAAAAGTGAGGATGGAGTTTCGAGAAAGAAGGTGAAGAGTGTGGCTTCTCCTACAGTGGGACGCCTCAGGAACGAGGGACGCGCTGCCGACACGCTACCCCACGAGGGAGTCTCCACAGCTAGCACAGCATGAAAGGAGCCCCATGTAAAGACCACATACATTACTATTCCATTAATGGGAAACGTCCAGAAAAGGCAAATGTATAGAGGCGAAGCCGGGCTGAGGGCGAGAATGGGACTAACTGCAAATGGGAGCAAGTGGTTTTAAAACTAGATCGACAGTTGCCCACCTCTGAAAATTTCTAAAGATCACTGAACTGTGTGCTTTAAATAGGTGAATTTTATGATATGTAAATTACACTGCAATAAAGCTGTTAAAAAAGAAAGGAAAGCTCTGGCCAGTGTGGCTTAGTGGATAGAATGTCAGCCCAAGCACCGAAGGGTTGCAGGTTCGGTCCCTGGCCCCAGTAGGAGCTTGGGCAGGAAACCAATCAATGTGTCTTTCTCACAGTGATGTTTCTTTTTCTCTCTGCCCCTCCCTCCCTTCCATTCTCTTAAAAATCAATGGAAAAAATATCCTCCAGTGCGGATTAACAAAAAAAGAATTTTTTTTAAAGAAAGGAAAATTAGTCATCTGTTAAATGCTGCACAGAGATTGACTAAAGCCAGACAAGCTTCATGGAATGAGGTGAATAGCCGGTCTTGGTGGCCCGGCAGAGAGCAGTATCCAGGAATCAAGTGAAGACAGTGCACCACGAAGAACATCAAAACCAGGATGCAAGCTTCTGCTTTTACATCTATTTTAAAGCTCAGGAATTTTCCTATTAGATTTGGAAAAGTTGAGGTCCTTCGGAAGTCTGAGTTTCTTTAATTAACCTAATACCACAACAGCTTCATGGAATTGGAGAGTTCCAACAACTCAAGAAATCTGTGTATTATCCAAGTATTGAAAGTAAGCCTGACTACTATGGGATAGAAACCAAAGGGACTGCCCTGGCCAGTTTAGCTCAGCCGTTGGAGTGTCAGCCCTCAGACTGAAGGGTCCCGGGTTTGATTCCAGCCAAGGGCACGTACCTTGGTTGCAGGCTCGATCCCCAGCCAACCAGTGCGCATGCAAGAGACAGCCAATCGATGTGTCTCTCTCACATCAATGTTTCTCTCCCACTCTCTGAAAAGCATGGAAAAAATATCCTCCAGTGAGGATTAAAAAAAAGAAAGAAACCAAAGAGACTGCTGGACTGGACTAGGGTGCTGCTGACCGGAAACGGGCCTGTGGGAACTTTGTGGGGTGACAGACCATTGTGCATCGTGTTTGGGTGGTTACACTGGTGTATACAATTGTGAAAACTCACCCAGCTGAGCACTTAAGAACTGTGCATTTTATCTTGTGTGGATTATGCCTCAAAAAAGCGTGGAATATAGGTGAGTCCTTGTCTTTGAGAGCTGCACCCAGCTTTCTTAAATCTATGTATGTGACAGATGGACATGGTGTCTGAGGTTTGCTGCAAAGTGAAAGTGTATGCGTGGCTGCTGGGTGTTTCCCAAAGACAAGCCCAAGTCGCCTGCCATATGTTCCATGGAATGTCTTTGATGCTCTTCCCACCTGGACGTGGTCTTGACCCCCCTCCCTAAATTGCTGTAGGTTCAACCCTCTCTTGTAACCAATAGAATGTGGCAGAAGTGACTTCTGAGGCTGGGCCAGGACAGGCTCCCTGGAACGCTGGCTGGGGCTTGGAGCCTCAAGCTGCCTCCTGGGGAAGGTGCCACAGTCAGCTGTTCCCATCTCTGAGCCTTCCAGCCAGAGGCCACCACGTGTCAAGCAGAAGCCAGCATCAGCAGCCCTGTGAATGGCCACCTAGCATGTCTTGCAAGGAGAAGAATCATTCCATATGCAATTTTTAATCACACAAATTAAATATTCATAACCTTTTAAGTAGTTTTAATACAAAAAACTTGTATAAGTCAATGTAAAAAAAATAAACTCCCCAAGTAAAATTAAATGGAGAACACAATGATATGAAAGTGACCAGTGCAGGCTATGGTCACTTGGCAACAGTTAAAATAATCAAGGCTGTGGAGCACTAAAGTTCAAGGGGGCTCTAGACCTGATACCCAGGCTCCAGCATCTCCCTCTGCCACCAGCCTTGGGCAGGTGACTGAAACTTTCTGTGCCTCAGTTCCTTCATCTGTAAAATGTAGGTGATAAGAGGACCTACTTCAGAAGCTTGTCGTGGGTCGTCATTCACATTTGTTACTCTAGGGCTCAGAGTAGGCAACTCATGGACCAATGTGGCTGGTCCATGAGTTAAGTGGGGAACAAAGCACGCTGCAAAGCCGTCTTGGTACAAGTATGTGATGACGTAGTCTGACTATGTACATGTATATGCGCAGAGACACCTCTCTGTAGCACTTGAACAGAGGCCTGAAGGGATGTGCCTCAAACTGTAACCTCCAGGGGTGGAGTCAGTAAAGAGCCTTTCTGCTTTTGTATTTTGTAACATCTGACAGACAAGGCATTTCACAGGTTCTCTGTATTCCTTGTAACCTTAACAAGTTTAAGAAAATGTGGTCAACGTCAGAAATGTCCATTTGTACAGCATTCTGACTGATAAAGTTCTGTACAAAGAGCTGTTACCAGATTTAGAATCCTTTGGAAATTGTACACATGAACCTTCACCTCTAAGGTACACCTGCCTTTTTGAGGTCTATTACCTGAGCCTTGGCAGCTCAGAGTCTCCATGGTGAGTGGCAGAAAACTCCTGTTTTTGTCCTAGAAAGAGGGTGTCTAGTTTAAGCTTTGGAATGTTCATGCAGTTTTGACTGCTTTCAGCCTCGCCTGTTTCTTTTTCCTGAACCACAAATCTAGTCCTTGTGCTTTGGCCCTAATACAGATGTTGTCTGCAATCCCATAGACTTACTAAATACCTGGATGTTTCCTTCCTTTTAGAGACACCTGTGGCAAAGGTAAAGTTGAACAAGAAGGAAGTTGTCATTCCACAGATCATCATCACTAGGGCCTCAAACGAGACCCTAATCAGCTACAGTTCCATCGGAAACGAAGAGCAGAGAACCATTCGGGAGCAGACAGAATGGGGCCCCTATGCCCGACACAGGAACCCCAGTACAGTAGACGCCTATGCTTTACAGACTAAACAACCATCTGAGTAGCTGTCCTTGCTCACTGTGCTCTGAGTCTCAGCCGTGATGGCAGAAGGGCCACCCTGCCCTGTGGGAAGCTGCAGGTACCCCTTCAGGAGACAAACACCCCATGACCACCATGCTCACCTTCCCCAGAGCTGCTGGCAGCTTGGCTGAGGGCAAGAGTAACTCTTAAATGAGTTTAAATGAATAAATCATTTCCCCCGATGAAACTGGCTGGTTGCGCAGAGTGATGGACAGTAGGCGGCACCTCTCACTTCTGTTCAAGGCCTTCCCACCCACTCTGAAGGAGTGTGGGGTGAGTCCTGGGTGGTTGTGGTGAGTGAGATGTCCCCCACACTTGGAAAGAAGGTAGGGCTCTAAGCACTTAAAGGTGTCATGTTCCGCAGGGGCCTAAGGGCTCCTAGCTTGACTGTTACCTGATCCAGGGTATTAACATGGAACTGCAGGGGACTGGGGACAGCCAGGCACTTAGAACTTTGGAAATGGCCTTGTCACAGCTGCCCTGGGAAGAGGAGTTGAACTCACACTTCCTGTCTTTGGGGCTGTGAATGAGGGCTCCCTATGGCGAGGGGCCGTGCAGGGGACTCCTCAAGTGCTCCACCGTCGCCAGCAGTGCTCAGGTCAAGCTGCAGAGAATGCCCGCGGCGGCCAGTCTCACGTTCAGTCTGGTGACACTTAGCTTCCTTAGTTCCTAGGGTGGCGGCAGGCCCTACACACAGTTCCGATTTCTCTGTCGATGAGGATTATGTTACTTTAGTATTAAATAGCGCAACTGGCCCTGGGCGGTTCGGCTCAGCGGTTAGAGTGTCGACCTGCAGATTGACCGGTCCCAGGTTTGATTCGGGCCAGGGGCGCGCCCCTTGGTTGCAGGCTCCATCCCAGTCAGCAGGCGGGCAGGAGGCAGCGATGTCTCCCCCTTTCCACGCTCTGAAGACCCGTGGGGAAAATACCCCGGGCGAGGATTAAAAATAAAAAAAATAGTACAACTGACTTCCAACCAATTAGTTCGGTATAACCTGAGAAACAATAAATCCCATATTGACGTTGTTACTGACACATCATTAGTATCGCTATACTTATTCAATATACTTATTTATGCGTTCTGACTGCCACCACCCAATACACAGAAGAGCGGAGCCCATAGGAACGCGGCCGCGCCCGGGCCTCCGG